GAGTGTATCAAACCATTACAGGAGTTACTACAGCAGATAACTCCAGGTCAATATACTTTAAAATGTCTTGCTAACAACCAAATTAAAGTTCAAGCTGACTCATCCAAAAACTATTCATTAATTGAAAAATTTTTAGCAGAAAAAAATACTCAGTACCATACATATCAACTAAAACAAAACCGTGGATTCCGAGTTGTTATACTTAATTTACATCCTTCAACAGATCCAGATGACAATAAAAAAGCGCTGCTGGTGAAGCACTGAACATCTCCAACATTAAGAAAAGAGGCACATATAAAGATCTGCCACTATTTAATATAGAACTGACCATTCAAAGTAATAATAAAGACATACGATATGACAAAATTATTCAACTCTATTGTCACAGTTGAGCCACCGCACCCGAAAAGGGAACTACCCCAATGTCAAAGATGTCAACATTTTGGCCACACGTACAATTATTGCCACAGGAGTCCGCGCTGTGTAAAATGCGTAAGCAATCACCTATCTTCTCAATGTCCAAAACAAAAAAACATAAAAGATGTTCAATGTGTAAATTATCTAGAAAATCATCCTGCCAGCTATAAGGAATGTTCATTGTACAAAGAGCTGCAGAAAAAAAAATTCCAACACTGCGAAAAAAAAACGCCACTCCTCGTGCAGTAAATCCTTCAATAACTCAACCAACCATCAGCTATGCGAAAATTGCTGCAGGAAGAGATCATAGAAATACATCTAACATAGATGAGACTTCTCATGCAATAGAAACAACAACTCCTCAACATATACAAAATAATCTAGAACTACTAGTACAAAAGTTAATGGAAAGAATGGATAAGATGTTTGATCTCATAATGTCTCTGATATCTAAGCTTAACCTTCAACACTAAACTAAAGATGTGCTGTTGGAATACCAATGGCTTAACCACTCATTTCCACGAAGTTAAAGCATTTATTTACTCTCATAATCTAGATGTTATGTTTATTTCTGAAGCACACATGACTAATAAGAGCCATTTCTATATTCCCAAATATTTAACCTATGTAACTCATCATCCATTAGGTAAAGCCCACGGAGGTACGGCAATAATTATAAGAAACAATATTAAGCATCATGAAATAAATAAAATTAGTAAAGTTAACATCCAAGCCACATCAGTGTCGGTCGAAGATTTACAAGGCCCGATTATTCAATCTACTGTTTACCTTCCACCGAGTCAAATAATTAAAGCTGATCATTTTACTGAATACTTTAAGATGCTCGGACACCGTTTCATTACTGCTGGAGATTTTAATGTCAAACATCATAAATGGAGTTCCAGAATCATAACCTTACGTGGACGAGAATTATTAAAAAGTATTAATGAGAATCATTTAATTCCTTTCTTTACTGGAGAGCCTACGTATTGGCCCACCGATAAACAAAAAATTCCTGATCTTATTGATTTCGCTATAGTAAAAGAATATCACATACCTATCTCCAAATTTCTTCTTCATTTGACCTCTCATCAGATCATTTCCCTTTCTTCATAGATCTACATAGCCAAATTCATAACTGTCCTAAATATCTAACACTATCTAATAAAAGAACAAGCTGGAACAGATATAGAGAAAAAATAAAAACAACCATTAACCTAAACTTGCCTCTTAAAAGTCATAGCGACATAGAAAATTCAGTTGCTCCAAGTATCTTCATATCGCCCAATTAGCTTGTTGCCTATTATATCTAAATTATTTGAACGGCTTTTTCTGAGAAGACTGGAGCTTATTTTATATGACAGTAATGTTTTACCGAATTAATAATTTGGGATTAGCAAACAACATAGTACTATCAAGCAAATTCATAGGGTGGTAAAGACTATCAGAAATTCGCTCGAACAAAAAAATTACTGTACTGCTGCAATTCTAGATGTCTCTCAAGCATTTGACAAAGTTTTGTATGTAGGTCTTATCTCTAAAATTAAATCCATATTTCCTCATCCCATAAGCTCACTTGTAAGATCCTACCTGGGTCACTAACCTGTTTCCAATTTGTTCCGGAGTTCCACAAGGAAGCATACTAGGACCCACCCTCTACTTAATATACACATCAGATCTCCCAACGACGATCAATACAACAATCGCTACATATGCTGATGACACAGTTATCATGGCTTTAAATTCTACAGCAACTGAAGCATCCCAGGTATTACCAAACCATCTACTTAAACTAAAGAGCTGGCTTAAACTGTGGCGAGTCCAAGTTAACAGTTTAAAATCAACACAAATAACGTTTACTTTAAAAAAGGTGTCGCGCCACCAGTTTCTATAAACCACACTCCACTACCAGTTAATACCGTCGTTAAATACCTATTAATTCATTTGGTTAGCAAACTTAATTGAGGTATTCACATCTAGCAGAAACGCCTTCAACTCAGCTTAATCTAGAGGAAAATGTATTAGTACATGGGTCTAAAATCAAATCTTAGCCTGGAAAACAAACTTGTGATATAAAAATATATTTTAAAACAGGTATAGCAATATGCAGCACAAATCTGGGATACAGCAAGTAATACCAACATACAAAAACTTTAACGATTCCAATCAAAAGTACTGGGCCTGATCTGCAATGCCCCTTGGTACATTACGAACCACAGATTACACCACGGTTTACAGTTACCAACAGTTAGCGAAGCAATATCTGCCGTAAACGCTGTATACAAGACCAGACTATCCTGCCATCCAAATCCGCTGGCCACGGATTTGCTCAACATTTTACACAGAAGAAGATTAAAACGACCAGACCCTTTGGACCTCTAGTAAACATGGAGAAACAGAGCATAGTGTCATAGTGCGGTGAAATAACAAGGTTTTATTCTGGTGTTTTCTAAATCTTTTCTTGTTTTTTTTTTCCAATTTTTAGTTCTGTAATACTTATATGTGTGTCAGTGATGTTTATCTGTATTAAACTTTGTTAAGTTGAAGTTTAAATTAATTGTTATGTGATATATTATATTTATATTATATCTAACCTGGGTGCTTGCCACTGGGCGGCTTCCCACTATGTTATTGTACATAAATTATACATATTGCTTATTGTTTGTAATGAGACAGATTGCAATAAACATTGGATGTTAAAAAAATATTTTTTAATCAAAATGTTATGTTTATTTTATTTTTACTTAAAAAAACAATCCTTAGTAGTTGGTAAGGATGTGTGAAAGTATGTCTATGCATTAATAGTACATTATGAGTATCTTACAATGATCCAGTATACGCGTTCTGATATCTTCTAAAATATGTGATTGGTTTTTTACTTATCAATTTTTTTTAAATTTTGATTTTAGAAAGGGTTGTAGTGGAAAAGGCTTTAACGTGTCACTAATCACGAGTGTATACAAAATTTGAACTCTTACAGAAAAACAAAAAACGACGAAAATGTTTAGAAAAGCAAAACCTATATTTTTTACTTTTCAATATTTTTTGTATTTCAATATTTTTTATTTTGAAAAAAATATTTTTTTAAATTAAAGCAGATAAAAAAAACAGCAGACAGAATTACATCTGCTGCGTCAACTCCAACAAATGGTCAGGTTCTGACACTTGTACCACAACCAAAATTTTTTAATGTGTTGTTGTGGAGTCCAGGGTACAGTCTTTTTTGTGTTTTTTCTACAGAAATATTTTAACATATAGAAATACTTAAATTTCTATATATTTATGTATGATTTATTCTTAACAGTGGTACTTTTTAAAAACTTCCCCATAACTCTGAAGATGGTTTTGTAAGCCGAAAGCGCTCAGCTAGGAAATAAATGTTCCAAAACACTTCCAAAATACTTTTCATTTCCATTTTCTTATTTCTAAAATATTCTGCCTTATTCATCCGCGAGTTCTATTCAAAAACCAGCTTTATTGTCACTTCCAGTCCCCTATTTTGCTAAGTATATAGTTCATCTAATTAACTTACCGTTGCACGTCATCCGCGTCATAGCACGTGAGGTCACATGGTACCAACACGAAATATTTAGGCGGTAGGTGTGTTCTTTTTTGAATCACTTTGCCGAGTACACTGGCATTACAACCACTAGACATATTTTATTATATACCCGTAGAAATAATATTTAAAGATTTATGTTAATGTTAACTGAAAGAAATATACAATAATATGTTTCATCTAATTTGTATAAATGCATTATAAAGCGTTTTTATGATGATAATTTGTTTGGAACACACTGTAACTGTAGTCGTACGAAGGGGATATTTTATTTTGGCATAAATTGTTAACACTTATTTGACAGTTGCGGTGTTGACACTCTTTGTACTTTATTATTTTGAATTTTATAGTGAATACGTATTGTTTTATATTTTTACTTATTTAATAAAATCTGTTCTTTTTAGAACAAAATTAGTGTGTTTTAATTCAATAATGTGTGTTTTTATTTATTTTCATTAAATATTTATTTATTTTGTTGTATAATCCACTTTTGCAATAATTGGATTCAGGTTTTTTTTTTATACTTTTACAACTATGTCAACTTCGATCTCTGTCAATGATAATGACGTGCAACGGTAAGTAAATTAGATGGACTGTAGCTGCTTATGATTTTTTTTGTGTTTTCCAAAATCTAAAAGGTCTTTATCAGAGATTTTTGGGACTGATAACATAAAGGTACAATCATTAAAAGAGCTAAACAGCATTGTACGAAAAATAGTTTTCAGAATCTTTTCAGCAACGGAAACGACTTTGAGAGAATTGTATTCATTGCTAAGGGGAGCACAGTGAAGACGACAATGTTTTTAACTAAACGTTTTAAACATCAGTTTTGAAATTTTTGATCAACCCTTCTGTACGTTTCAACTTAAAATATTTATAATGTTTTATTTAAATAAGGCATATAAAAAATATATAGATTTATAAAGAATTCTATAAGTGACAATTTTGATATTTGGTATAATTTTTTTATTGCAAGTATTGTTTGCCTTACTGCCTTCTATTATTAACTTAATATATATTTCAGATCTATATTCATAAATCAATAGAAGGCGTTTATCCTTTTGTACCCAAAGACACGCTACCATCAGATTATGGTGGAAAAGAAAGATCTATGGCAGAATTAGAAGGTACATATTTTTACTAATATTAATAAATATAGATTTACTTACATTATTAATCTTTTCAAATGTGATGTTGCCTTTTTTAATTATGAAACTCGACTTGTCCTATAAGGTTCATGCAACTCACAACAAAAGGGTCTTAAAATTTTTTGGTTGTCCTTGGGATCACACACAAAGTAATTTTGGTCCTGCAAGGATCATAATATTACTCGAAGGAATTTACATTTCTACACCAGCAATTCATTCAATTCTCTTTTGTTAGCATTAATTTCTTACCTCCGTATGTGACTGTTGGCCGCATTATGGTTTTGTATATCTGGATTTTTGCAGGTCGCGAAAGAAATTTTGACCTCATTAGATATAGTATTGTAAAGAAAGATCTGCTTACCGCCTGTATTCTCGCGTTTTAACTTCTCGTTCTACTTTGTTGTCATTGATGATTGTCATTCCTAGATTTTTACATTATTTTATTAAACCACTTCGAAGGTTTAATGATTTATAAGAATATTGTTCTTATTTTAAAAAGTCACTAATAGAAAATTTCACCCAAACCAGATTCTAAATATCCGAACTTTATACTCAGCAAACGGTGGGAGTGAACACAAACTTGTACTAGAAAAAATAAGAATGAACATAACACCAAAACATTTTCTACAGGAAATCACCGAAGAAAAATTCAATGTAGAATCACTATGGAATGACTCTACAAGAGAAATGTGCCAAAGGAGGCTAACACAGCAACATTGAAGAATCAACAACAGAAACTCTAGAAAAATTTAAAGTCATACTGAACAAAAGACAAAACAACAATACACCATGGTTCAGAAAAGAACTAAAAAAGAAATGAAAAGGGATACAAGAGGTCTACGCAAAGTACAGAACATCAAATATTTCAGAATCCCGAGGCTTCTATAGAAGAATACAAAATGAAACAAAGCAGTTTACAAAAGGGATGGAAAGCCACTTCTACGCTACACAAAAACAACTATGGAGATTCATAAGAAACCAATGGAAAGAAATGACAGAATTAAATGAATAGAATAACATAACACCAAACGAATGAGAAACTGATATTTGACGGAACTGTTTAAAGAAAAGGAAAATAATAATCAACACTTGACGTACCTAAATTAAGACACGAAATAGAAATCAGTTTTCAGGAAGTAGAGATAGCCATAAATTCACTCAAAAATAGAAAGTCGTTAGGACTAGACGAAATAGCCAACGAGCTTCTAAAACACGGAGGAGAAAGTATAACCTTAGAGATGACAAAACTTATACAAAAACTAATATTGCACTGCAAGGTACCAGATGCATGGAGAAATAGCATAATGATACCAATGTCCAAGAAAGAAGATAAAGAAGACTCCAACAATTATAGAGGTATAAGTCTATTGAACATCGCAAACTTACCACAAAAGTCCTAACCAACAAAACCAATACACTAACAAATTTCTCAGAAGAACAATAAGAATTCAAATCCAGAAGATCCTGCGTAGATGCCGTATTTACACTAAGACAAATCACAGAAAAGACCATCGAGTATAATAAACCCGCATATCTATGTTTTATATACCTGATAAAGGCTTTCGATCGCATCCAAGTCGAAGACGTCTTACACTTACTATATAAAAGAAACATACCAATTAATATTATAAAAACCATCGAAAACATCTACTTCCATAATCGAATACAGGCAAAGATAAATGGAAAACTAACACCGTCCATACCAGTAGAAAGCGGAGTCAGACAGGATGATTCGTTTAGCCCACTTCTTTTTAATATAATAATGGACGAATTAATACAAGTAGTACGTAAAGGTCATGGCTACAGATTGAAGAACAAAGAAATCCAAATATTATGTTACGCAGACGACGCCACTTTAATCGCCGAGACAGAAGACGAGTTCTAAAGATTAACATACATCTTCAATACAATAGCCAAAAAATATAAGATCATAATCAGCAGAAAAACCAAATGTATGACAACATCTAAATACCCACTACGGTGTAAAATCGAAATTGTTGGGAAAATAATAAAGCAGGAAGCAAGGTTTAGATATCTGTGAATATATCTAACTAGTTACGGAAATGTTGAAGAAGCAGTACGACAATAAAGCGTAAAAGCAAGTAATGCAGAAGGATTTCTCAATGACACAATGCTTAGATGGATGAGTGGAGAGACAAAAGAAGATAAAAGTAGGAATGAGTATATTAGGGGAAGGGTGGCTTTAATTGTTGCCAAGATGAGCGAGCGTAGGTTAAGATAGTATGGTCACCCAATATGAAGAATTTCTAATCTGCGTTTTCCTAAAAGTTGTAAGAGAGGAAAATCAAAAAAGGATCTGGGGGGAGAGACTTAAGCAGGACATGTTGGTAAAGAGTATTAATATTGATATGACCCAAGATAGACACTTATAGAGAAATGTAATTAGGAAAGCCGACCCCGCATATGGATGAAGGCAAAGAAAATGATGACCAGTAGTAAAGAGAATAATAGGTACTGCGTTGATCTTTTTCATGCTACAGTCTCCATATATGTATTTCCAAATTTCTGTACTTACCGATTTTTTTGTTGTATTTAACACGTAGATTATTGTTACTAGGTATCGCTACCTCTATTAGTGTTGTTTGTCCAAAGTATTAATTATCTAGTATGAAATATAGTATATTATTTGTCGTTGTTTGATCTGTGAGCACAGTGCGGTCCCATTATAGCTTGTAGTAATAGTATAGCTTTTTATACATTGTCCAGCATACTCTTAGGTACTTATTGATAATACGAGAAATTGTTGATTGAAGAGGTTCCAGTTTATTAGCTATATGTTGATGTAGGATCTTTTTACTGAGTCATATCATTTCTTATATTCTGTTAGCAATTATCTGACAGTACCTTATAATATGTTAGATGGTATATGGGGATCAACATTCATATCAGTATTTCTCGTTTTGGACCTAAGGGTCTTTGACGATATATTTCAGGTAATTTTTTGTTGGAATAACCTTATCCTGAATGGCGAGTAAGGAACGAGTTAGAAAGATGGTTTATGCATATTTCTGGTTCTCTCGGAGCCCTTGACGCTCAGGGTTGTGTGATGTATCATCTACAGCATAAAGCGTGCTGTTAAGTAGATGTCGTAGATGTGCTCTCTAAGAGCTAACGCGCACTACAGCGGCTCCGGACACGACCACTGGTCGGACTTTGGCCGCAGTCGAGTCCGAACTAACATGAGACCAACCGTGCGGCAAGCAACATGCTACGTCTACGTTGGTCGTACCTCTGGCCAGGCTATCTACATTAATTCTTCTTTTAAATTAAGAAGATAGATGTCACAGAGTTAGCCATTGCTGTGTATATGTATAATCGTGTATTAAAACGTACAGAAAAAAAATATTAAGTAAATGTAATTTTTAAATTGTCATATACAACGAAAACTATACAATACACGTACAGATCACGGTCTGGCCGTCTGTCGTGCGCGTTGTTCCATACAAGTACATACTAACTTTGGTCGCAACGACCGGCTGGTCGGAAGCTAGTCCATCGACGAAATGGGGCCTGTGCGGCCAGCTGGCTGCAAAGGAGACATGCGCGTTGTCTCATTACAAACTATGTCAAATTAGCCGGATCCGACCAGTCGCAATTCTGGTTGTGACCGGAGTCGCACTAATGCGCGTTAGCTTTTATATCCATAAGTTCTCTTATCCCTAAATAGCGTGGGAAGTTAGTGTTATTACTATTATTAGTATTATTGGTATTGAACTGCTATTATTTTCAAATAATTATTTAATGTAAATCATGAATGTAAATCATGAATTATTTAATGGTTTAATTAACTAATGGTTTAATTAATAATATTTAATAATTATTTAATGTAAATCATGAATGTAAATCATGAATTATTTAATGGTTTTTTAGATATATGGAAAAAGAAATTTTTGGAGTACAAAGACCGGTTTGATTACTTAGACAAAATAACAGTAAATGAAGCTTTGAGACCAGAAAAACTTAAAAATGATGAATTGCTGGGTTACTACGGACATTTTAAAAAGATTCAAATTGATTAGATATACAATCAAAGAGTATAAATCACATACCTAAACAATAAAAATAAATTTAAAATAAAGTGATATTAAATAAACGATTTTTGTTTTTTAATGTAACTTGTTCCTTTTTTTTAATAAATTTCTTGTTAAATTATTATAATCACAATTCTGAAACTATATGACGGTACTTTCAATCTATGACTATAATGATGGTACTTTCAAGTGGACCTAACAACATATTTTTTATTGTACTCAATTGGACATTAGCTAATGGGTGATAGCTGACATCAAAATAAGGCGTTTGAGCTTTATGATATTAGTTTTACCATTTGTACTAGGTGGCGCCACCTACTATAAGATTGGTTCATTACTGTGGGCATAATTTTTTTGTTTGCATACACAATACAAAGGTTTGTATTTTGAGAACGATTTCCGAAGTGGAAATGGAACCTTCAATAAACGTAATTTAATCTTTAATTGTGGCTTATTCTCATTTAAATAGTAAATACTTTCAAATTCCACAAGAAAATAGCTTCAGAACAATAACAAGTTTTTTATTATTTTATCTATAATCAGGTTAAACAATAGAGAACTCAGGGAATCTTTCTGTCTTATCTCATTGCCAGCTTCAATGGAATCGGTTATTTCTTCTTCTACTTTTACTTTTATTTTGTTACTTTGGTAAATATTTTCGATCGTTTTGATTATTCCTAAAGGTATTTCTGTTGCATATAATAAACGGATAACGTCCTTTAATTTGACTTGATCAATTGCCTTCTTAAGGTCCACGATACATACGTCCAAATGCCGGTTTGTTGTATTCTAAAGATTTATCTTGCACTTGTTTCATTATAAATATAGCGTCGGTATATAATCTTCCCGGCCTAAAACCTTGTTGTTCTTTTGCTAGTGTTATAATTCCATTCAGTTTATTTGTCATCACTTGCTGATTATTAATTTTAGTGATTTGTTTAATAAATTAGTTCCCCTGTAATTTTTCTGGTCCGATTTGTCTCCCTTTTTGAAGAGAGGTATTAGGATGCTTGATCTCCATTCTTGAGGAATTCTATTTTGTTCTATTATTTTTTGGATTAGATTTAACAGTTGTTTGTTCAGATATGGTCCTCCGTGGATCGAAAGTAGTCTACCCATGTTTCCTTCTGAATGTGTCTCGTTTTTATTAGTTCTTATTAAAACTTTTTAATAGTCATTTGTTAGTCCCTATAAATATTCTACACTTTATTTCTTTTATTTCGTAACTCTTGTTTTAAAATTTGAATTTCTAATTTATGATTTTCAGATAACCTCTCCTTATTCTTTTTCTTCTTCCCTTAATAGTGCAATTTGAAAATCTATATCTTTTTTGCCAGTTCCTCGTGTACAGAATTATTTGTATGCAACATCTACATCTATTGCAACTGGGATGAAATAGATTGCTTCCCCAGTTTGCGTTTTCGTATATCTGTAAATTGTAGCTATAAACAATAAATCTGATCTTACATGCATGACATGAAAAAAATAAGTATATAATTGTATCTGCATACTTTTTGTTTTACATTCTTCAAACTTCTTTGGTAAGTGGGCAGTTAGAAAGTTATCTTCATTTTCTGGAATTTAAAACATAACATAAAACATAATATAACCAACAATCCCACCCTTCACTAGGCTACGATAAACAGAAAAGAAATTCAAAATTAAATTTATTTTTACTGTAAAAATTTACTGACCGTTACATCAACAAATTTTGCAGCTACTTTAATTGCACTGTCTGGTTTTTAGACTTGCAATGTCTTTGCAAGTCTAAAACAAGGCGATGAACTGGGTTTAACACTATTTAATCTTGCTCTTAAATATGCCATAAGACAGTTGTTAAATTTCCTAAGAGCCAATATCCTAACAAACAAATCAGTACAACTTACAACCTACTCAAAAAACAAATATTAAGGTCTATATAATTACAAGTTAATTACAAGAAAATTACAATTTTTTGACAAAAATGTTTGAACTGATCACCGAAAATGCCATGTAAAGATATGATCATAAGCTGTACCAACTGTTCAAAGAACTACCTATTTCATAATCCACTAAACTCCAGAGACTTTGATGCTAGCCATGCAGTGAAGATCATCCTCCTCATTCCTTGAGCCATTGACAGAACAAATCGAGCTATCTGCGGAAATAATATCATAATGAAACCTATTTATTTCTATCTCAATATGGTTTAAGAATGTTAATGCTCCAAGAACTCCATACTGCCACAAAAAGAATTGGTCTTAAAATAAATTTTTCAAAAACACAATTTATGACAAATTTAATCCACAACAAAAACATCTCAGTAGAAGACAAAGATATTAAGCCAGTTGACTCCTATAAATACTAGGGCCATGAGATCAGAATAAGTCGAGACAACCAAACAATCGAGCTGAAAAGAAGAATAAACCTCGCTTGGGCTACATTTGGAAAGATGAAGGATATTTTTAGGTCTAAGATTCCAATGTATCTAAAAAAAAGTTTTTAATCAGTGTATTTTGCCAGTGATGACCTATGGCGCAGAAACCCTAACACTCACAAGAACAACAGTGAGTAAACTACAAGTTGCGGAAAGAGCAATGGAGAGAATAATGTTAGGGATTTCTCTACGTGATAGGATACCCAATGCTACTATACGCAAAAACACAGGAGTAGCAGACATTATTGAAAGGATAACAACAATAAAGTGTAACTGGGCAGGTCATGTAGCAAGATCAGTTGATGACCGGTGGACAAAAAGAATTTTGGAATGGAGACCCCGAATACAAGCTTACAGAAATAGAGGTCGACCCCCAACGAGATGGACAGATGACATAAAAAGAGTGACTACAAATTGGATTCAGATGGCGCAAAATCGGACTAAGTGGAAAAGCATGCGAGAGGCCTATATTCAGCAGTGGACGTTAGAGGCTAGTTGATGATGATGTATATGGTTTAGGTTTTTTGTGGTTTTGATAGAAGTGAGTTTGTAAACAATGCTTCTACAATCGGTCAGAATGATATAATTATTCATACCAATAGAGGCTATATATTTTAACGCAAGTAATAAAGCTGATAGTTCGCAGTATATATTGAAGCTTCATTGGGCAATCGACATGATTCTTTGTAATCAGAATTCCAGTGATATATTGCACAACCCGTTTTATTTTGAATTTTAGATCCGTCAGTAAAAATATATTAAAATGCAGGCCACTTATCTTTAAATATTTTGTTAATCATACTTCCTGGAAGGTTTAAATCCATATAATATGTTTCTGGTACCTTGGAAAAGAGAGTCTTAGGAGGTTGAGTATAAATTGGTGGCACTTTATTTTGATATAATTTTTCTTCAAATATTGTCAATTTCCTATACCTTTCAACGTGTATAGAAGTTTTTTGTTACGCCAATATGTGTGGCTTAAGTCTAATATATTCAATTTACGAATATTTTTTAAATAGCTGAAGTTTTTTGATATAGCTCTAGCTATAAACTTATCTGTACAAAACTGTCTGCGTAGGCTTTTTAGCTTCAATTTTAATAATAGTAATAGCAGTAGATTTTAAGTAACCAAGACATAGCCTCAAATATTTATGCTTTTGGGTTTCAATTTTGTTAAGACGTCCTGTTGATGCAGAGCCATTGCAATGCAATATTCGGGTCAGCTCCCCAACTAGTTTTGCAAAATGCTCTAAGGATATTCATGGAGTTTTCTCATTTTTTTAATATAGATATTTTACACAATTTTTGATTGGAAATTCTATTTTTCCTAATTTGAAGTTAACTTGAGGAGTTTGGCATTTTTTTGAACAAAAAACAAATTTCAGTCTTTGTAGTTGGTATTAATAAGCCTAGACAATTGTAATAATTTTTTATACAATTTAGTGTAAATTCGAGTTGACGCCTACAAATGTCTAGGTCAGCATGGGAGGTGTACAACACAACATCATCTGCAAACTGTAATATATTAGAGTGTGGAGGTACTAACTAGTCTAGATATATATTGTATAATGAAAAGAGAAGTGGGCTTAAAATACTACCCTCTGGTATACCTATATTCGTTAGCCTTGACGCTAAAAGTTTCTCATTTATTTATTTTTAAGTAACTCCATCTATTCTTGTACAATGATATAATGGTATGTAACGATGAGTCCAAGCCATCACCGTTAAACCAGCGTGCGCGCGAACCAACCCATGAAGTAGGAGTATATCGACAGTAGAAAGGGTAAAACTAATTACCAAGCTCCGCTATATAAACCGCAACATTTCCTCATAGAGGGGGAATCGACAGGTGTTGACTGAAGGTTCTCTTCTTCCCTACCCCGGCTTGTGGACGTGTTGAGTTCACAAGTTGTTCCGTCCCATACCGCCGTTACCCGAAGAGCGTGTTGATCTCTTCACTACCCATACTCTGAAGCAGTCGTGTTAAGACTGTCGAGGAGTGTCCTGTTAACCCGAATCACTTAAGGGGCGTGTTGAGTTCCTTTCCTTTCTTTGTACCTATCGTCCGCTGTTAATAAATCGATACAACGTTCCCGTAAAATTTCAAATACACATTCGCTTACCGATAAAACTAATTTCATATGACAAGGTCAAACTTAATTTGAATAAATAGGCCAGGTACTGAGAAGACTAAACCAAATTGTAAATATGTACGTAAGATTTTTGTCAATTTAATTTAAGGAAGACAATAAATTTGTATTTTTGTTTTCAACTCTGTCTTTGACTGTCTAAAAGCTACCCGGATAGTGACTCCCACGGGAGGACATTACAAATGGCGCCCGAGCAGAAAAATACGTTTTAAACAATAATACCGACCGAATTCCGAATTTTATTTTCATTAGACAGTACTACATTTCAAATTTTAATCAAATACAGGGTGATTCACAGTTCAAAAATTACAGACGCTCCGGAAACGTCGAAGGTTAGTTGGGTGTACCTATTAAAGAAAGACGAACTTAAAGCCGAATTAACAAACAGAAAACAGCCGACGGCAGAGAATTTCAGCGAGCTA